TTAGGAGTAAGAAAAAGTCAACAAAAGAGGCATAAGAGAACAAAAAGATGCTTAGGAGTAAGAAAAAGTCAACAAAAGAGGCATAAGAGAACAAAAAGATGCTTAGGAGTAAGAAAAAGTCAACAAAAGAGGCATAAGAGAACAAAAAGATGCTTAGGAGTAAGAAAAAGTCAACAAAAGAGGCATAAGAGAACAAAAAGATGCTTAGGAGTAAGAAAAAGTCAACAAAAGAGGCATAAGAGAACAAAAAGATGCTTAGGAGTAAGAAAAAGTCAACAAAAGAGGCATAAGAGAACAAAAAGAAGCATAGGAGTAAAAAAGTCAACAAAAGAGGCATAAGAGAACAAAAAGATGCTTAGGAGTAAGAAAAAGTCAACAAAAGATACATAGGAGTAAAAAACCCAACAAAAGACGCATAGTAAAAAAAGGCAACAAACTAAACATAAATGTAAAAAAAATTATAAAAGTAAAAAAACAAAAAAATTCATAAACGTAAAAAATAAACAAGAATGTTTGCATAAGAGCCAAACAAAAAAAAGTATAAATATAAAAAATTCAAACAGATACGAGAATAAACAACAGTCAATTAGCGGAGGAAATTAAGCACTAATTAGAATGACTAATAATATTCTTAACAAAAAAGACATCCTGCCTCTATTTCCGTCATCTCAAAAGTTCACTTACGCCAACATTAATACCAAATACAAAACTCATTACGGGATACAATTAAGGTACACAAAAGCTCCTAATTCCACAAAAGAGAAAATACATTAACAAAAATTAAATACCATTCCACTATCAGTCATCCCCACTTTTATAATTCAATCTCTGAGCAGCTAAATCACTTTATTTAACAACAAATTCTAACACACACAAAAGCAGACCTTTTTTTACCATTTTCTAAAAGGAGGCATTTTTACTAATGTACCTTTATTACCTTTGTTAATGTGCAGCAATTGTAACTAGCTTGTACGAGCGGCCAATAACGGCTTGGGCAAACCTATTGAGGGAGGGTAGGTCGTAAGGCGGGTCGTAGAGTAGGTAGGCGGGTCGTAGAGTAGGTAGGCGGGTCGTAGAGTAGGTAGGCGGGTCGTAGAGTCAGTAGGCGGGTCGTAGAGTAAGTAGGCGGGTCGTAGAGTAGGTAGGCGGGTCGTAGAGTAGGTATGCGGGTCGTAGAATAGGTAGGCGGGTCGTAGAGTAGGTAGGCGGGTCGTAGAGACAGTAGGCGGGTCGTAGAGTAAGTAGGCGGGTCGTAGAGTAGGTAGGCGGGTCGTAGAGACAGTAGGCGGGTCGTAGAGTAAGTAGGCGGGTCGTAGAGTAGGTAGGCGGGTCGTAGAGTAGGTAGGCGGGTCGTAGAGTAGGTAGGCGGGTCGTAGAGTAAGTAGGCGGGTCGTAGAGTAAGTAGGCGGGTCGTAGAGTAAGTAGGCGGGTCGTAGAGTAAGTAGGCGGGTCGTAGAGTAAGTAGGCGGGTCGTAGACTAAGCTGAAGGGGGCGTGGGTTAAGGTGAAGGGGGCGTGGGTTAAGGTGAAGGGGGCGTGGGTTAAGGTGAAGGGGGCGTGGGTTAAGGTGAAGGGGGCGTGGGTTAAGGTGAAGGGGGCGTGGGTTAAGGTGAAGGGGGCGTGGGTTAAGGTGAAGGGGGCGTGGGTTAAGGTGAAGGGGGCGTGGGTTAAGGTGAAGGGGGCGTGGGTTAAGGTGAAGGGGGCGTGGGTTAAGGTGAAGGGGGCGTGGGTTCAGGTGAAGGGGGCGTGGGTTAAGGTGAAGGGGGCGTGGGTGAAGGGGGGCGTGGGTTAAAGTGAAGGGGGCGTGGGTTAAGGTGAAGGGGGCGTGGGTTAAGGTGAAGGGGGCGTGGGTTAAGGTGAAGGGGGCGTGGGTTAAGGTGAAGGGGGCGTGGGTTAAGGTGAAGGGGGCGTGGGTTAAGGTGAAGGGGGCGTGGGTGAAGGGGGGCGTGGGTTAAAGTGAAGGGGGCGTGGGTTAAGGTGAAGGGGGCGTGGGTTAAGGTGAAGGGGGCGTGGGTTAAGGTGAAGGGGGCGTGGGTTAAGGTGAAGGGGGCGTGGGTTAAGGTGAAGGGGGCGTGGGTTAAGGTGAAGGGGGCGTGGGTTAAGGTGAAGGGGGCGTGGGTTAAGGTGAAGGGGGCGTGGGTTAAGGTGAAGGGGGCGTGGGTTAAGGTGAAGGGGGCGTGGGTTAAGGGGAAGGGGGCGTGGGTTAAGGTGAAGGGGGCGTGGGTTAAGGTGAAGGGGGCGTGGGTTAAGGTGAAGGGGGCGTGGGTTAAGGTGAAGGGGGCGTGGGTTAAGGTGAAGGGGGCGTGGGTTAAGGTGAAGGGGGCGTGGGTGAAGGGGGGCGTGGGTTAAAGTGAAGGGGGCGTGGGTTAAGGTGAAGGGGGCGTGGGTTAAGGTGAAGGGGGCGTGGGTTAAGGTGAAGGGGGCGTGGGTTAAGGTGAAGGGGGCGTGGGTTAAGGTGAAGGGGGCGTGGGTTAAGGTGAAGGGGGCGTGGGTTAAGGGGAAGGGGGCGTGGGTTAAGGTGAAGGGGGCGTGGGTTAAGGTGAAGGGGGCGTGGGTTAAGGTGAAGGGGGCGTGGGTTAAGGTGAAGGGGGCGTGGGTTAAGGTGAAGGGGGCGTGGGTTCAAAAGGGTTGAGAAGGTAGCCTCAACTTGACCACCATTAAACAAGTCGTGTATCTAAAATTGGATCTTATCTTGGTGCAGGTCCAGGGCCGACACCTGCCATCATCACTATACACACCTCAGGGAGGCTGTCTTGCCTCCATTATACACCACATTATACCTGTATAATGACTATTATACACACATTTTAAAAGTATACATACACATCACTTATGCCTAAGATGAATTAAGAGATCTGTATTAGGCAGTGAATACGCTAAATATACACATCGACCATTTGTGTATGTGCCTGTACGCACAAGTATACATACGCCGTTGTGTATATCAGTGTATAAGGAATGCCCCACTCCTGGTATATACACCAGTGAACAGTGACATAAATCTCCCTCAAGATATCGTGGGAATTTCCGGATGCCAAAGTTCACCTGACAAACTGCGCTGTTCTGTATATTAACAGTCACAAGAAATCGCATTTCTTCGTTCATTCGTCCGTTCGTTAACTCCTCGGTTTATTGTCTTATTGTTTTGCCTCTTCCTTCTTTCTCTTCACAACTGCATTTCCTTCATTCTGCGACTACGACCAGTCAATCTTCCACAGGTACGCCGATTGGTTGATTGGCGGTCGTTAAGATACTGGTAAATAATCTTTACCTGCGGATTTGACCTGTGACCTTTGACCCTGGTTTATGACCCTGAGCTCTGACCCCTACCATTCCTGCCCCCATCTAATCTCCCCTTCCCTTCCCTTCCGCGACCAGCAGAACGACAAGTCGACTGCCTTCGGGTCCTCTGATCAAAACTACTTATTTTCGAATATGTAATAGTTTATACAACAATTTTTATATCAACACACACACCAAAGAGCCAGAGCTCAACCCCCGCAAGCACAATTAGGTGAGTACACACACACGCGCGGGACCCACAGGATTTTTTTTCCTACCACAGACGTGGCCACACATTTACAATGCTAAACAGCATATATACATTTTCTTCTGTCCTCCATGGACAGGGTTAGAGAAGTGTTAAACATAGAGTTCAAGGGTTTATTGAACACTTAACCACAGAAGGTGATTCGGTGCTTTTAAAATGCTAAGCTAACCTACATACGTAAATACATAGATACACAGATTTACGTATGCCCTACATAAAGTGTTCGATGTGTCTTTTACATAGTGTCATTAATGTACATTCACAAAGGTGAAATGTAATTCACAAAGGTGAAATGTAATTCTGATCAGCTTCCATATATACTTTATACCCATACATATACATACACACACACATATACACACACATGCATTCACATACATTTGTCTCATTTACTCTGACAGGGTGAGATAGCTGATAAAGAAACTAGTGTGCAATTAAGCACTTAATCACTGTAGGTGATGAAGGGGCTTTTACAAGCTCAGGTTATATAGTTACATCATATATATACATTGTATAATTGATACATTACATGGTCAATTTTGGGTACAAGTCCAATATATCATCAAGTGTTCCATATAGTAATTACACAGTTCATCATACCTTAGCCCAGGAGGGCGAAAGTCAGTCAATATGGGACATTCTACAATATAATGTTCAAGAGAGTGCATGTTTTCTCTTTCACAAAGTTGACACATTGTGTACTCGACATTTGGGTTTTGAGAAAGCTGCCAGATACGTCTATATCCCAGGCGTATTCTGGCCACTATAACATCACATTGCCGGGTTCTTGTTCTATTAGTCCCATATGTGAATGTCTCCTCACGATATCTATCATAATATTTAGATATTTGATATTTGTTTTATTTTATTACTTCATTAGATATTTGTTTAAGTATTCTCTTTGTCACTGCTAATGAAACACCCATATCAATATCTACCACTGGTTTTCTACAGGCTGTCTTTGCAAGCATATCAACAGTGTCATGCCTTGAGATGCCAACATGTGATGGTATCCATAGGAATTTAATCTCAAATGTGTTTTCCTTAGCAGCTAAAACATTCATTCGAATATCACTGACTATTTTCTGGGTGTCACTACTATGTTCGTTCAATGCCAGGAGTGAACTCTGCGAGTCACAGTATATAAGTCCACTGCCTTTGTCTTAAAAATTCAGTGGCAAGGTATATGCCTGCAAGTTCGGTTTGAGTTGTACTTGCCCAGTCATTGACGCGCTTCATTGCTGTATGTACGAGAGAAGATTGTTCAAATATATTGCATGCACATCCGGTAGGAATGAGACGCAACGCTGAACCAGCGAGACTCGCTACGGGCTCACCATAGCCCGTGCTACTAGGAACTATTGTTCCAGGTAGCGAATCTTTAACAACAAACAACAGCGAGACTCGACCTAGTCTTCACCCTGAACGACTTCGACATAAGGGAGATCAACATGGAAGCTCCCGTGGGAATGAGCGATCGCAGTGTACTGATGTTTGAGTACCTGGTCGAAGTTGGGTTAAGGTACTCAAGGAAGGTCCCAGAAAACAAAAGTCTGGCATTCCTGAAGGGAAAATATGAGGAGATAAGAAAATTCCTAACAGATATAACATGGGAAACAGAGCTGAGAGGAAAGACGGCCCAAGACATGATGGGACTACATCACGGAGAAGTGTAAGGAGGCAGCAGACAAGTTTGTCCCAGTCCACAAGGGAAAACAATGAAATGAAGATGAGAAACCCATGGTTTAATTAGGGATGTTGGCTAGCAAAGCAACTATGTAAAAGGGCATGGAGAAACTATAGAAATAACAGGACACTTGAGAGAAAGATACCAGAGTGCCAGGAATGAATATGTCAGGGTGAGAAGAGAGGCAGAAAGACAATACGAAAATGACAGTAAGTAAGGCAAAGACTCAACCTAAATTACTGCACAGTCACATCAGGAGGAAAACAGTGATGGAACAGGTAATGACACTGAGGATAGGGGCAGACAGGTTCACTATGAAGGAAAAGGTGGTGTGTGAGGAGCTTAATAAGAGATTCCAGGAGGGCTTCACATTAGAGCAAGGAGAAGTTCCTGAACTAAGAGAGGCAATGTCTAGCCAGGATGTCTAACCAGGCACCACTGGAGGAGTTTGAGAGTACCAGTGGGTAATCTGGTAAATGTAAGGAAACATTTGCTTGAATTGAATGTGACATAGGCTGTTTAGCCTTTGTCAACAGCAATCCAACTCGGAATCTCACCATGGATACTAAAAGAGGGAGCAGAAGTACTGTGCCTACCACTCTCCATGGTGTATAACAAGTCACTGGTAACAGGAGAACTTCTAAAAATTTGGAAGACGGCTAATGTAGTCCCTATACACAAAGTTGAAGACAAGAGGCACTGAACTATAGGCCAATTTTCTGGGTGACAGCAATTGTGGGTCAGCAATTGACCTTGCTGACCATGCGAGGTGACGAAGAAGATTGTGAGAAATAAACAGTAGTGCATCTGGAGAGAAGTAGCTTCATCAGAAAGGATTCACGGATGGTAAATCTTGCCTCACAGCTTTAATAAAATTCTATGACCATGTATAAATTTTGTTTAGAGAAAAAAGAAGGGTGGACAGACTGTATATTTTTGGATTGCCAGAAACCTTTTGACACAGTACCAAATAAGAGACTTAGTGCATAAGTTGAAGATGCCGGCAGAACTAAAAGGTAAGGTACTCCATTTGATAAGGGAGTACCTACGCTACAGAAGACAACGAGTCACTGTGAGGGGTGAGGTCTCAGAGTGACGAGGCGTCACCAGTCAACCCATTCTCGCACTTGCTTATAGTCAATATTGGCTTATTTAATAAGTGCATATGTGACATACTAATTGATTGTGAATATTTTAGTTTACCTTTTAAAGCTTCATAGAAAACACCGACCTCACCTAACCTTCTTAGTATGTTAAGATAAGCATCTTATTGCTTCTTATTTACAATTATTACTTAACCTATACCGTTGATAGAGAGAGAGAGAGAGAGAGAGAGAGAGAGAGAGAGAGAGAGAGAGAGAGAGAGAGAGATCTAAGAGTTTATATCACCCCAACCATGTCCCCTGAAGCCCACATAAAAATTATATCATCAACGGAGTATACAAGGCTGGCTAACATCAAAACTGCCTTGTGAGGACTAATACATCTACTCAGGTGTATTAAGGATTAAGTACAACCTAGGTGTATAATGTTAAGAGCAGATACTCTTTTGTTTTGTAAGTCTTGTAAATACTAGGTTCATGTGTGATACCGGTGTGACGTCACTGTCTGTTTTGTAAATAAAGCCACGTGGTCAGTCCAGGTACGGGAGCACGTGGTGGGGCCGGGCGGAAGATCTTAGACAAGAGAGAGTTGTGTTGATACCCCGTGGCCAGGGTGGCCCCCCGTGGTCAGGGTGGCCCCCCGTGGTCAGGGTGGCCCCCCGTGGTCAGGGTGGCCCCCCGTGGCCAGGGTGGCCCCCCGTGGCCAGGGTGGCCCCCCGTGGCCAGGGTGGCCCCCCGTGGCCAGGGTGGCCCCCCGTGGCCAGGGTGGCCCCCGTGGCCAGGGTGGCCCCCCGTGGCCAGGGTGGCCCCCCGTGGCCAGGGTGGCCCCCCGTGGCCAGGGTGGCCCCCCGTGGCCAGGGTGGCCCCCCGTGGCCAGGGTGGCCCCCGTGGCCAGGGTGGCCCCCCGTGGCCAGGGTGGCCCCCCGTGGCCAGGGTGGCCCCCCGTGGCCAGGGTGGCCCCCCGTGGCCAGGGTGGCCCCCCGTGGCCAGGGTGGCCCCCGTGGCCAGCAGTAGGTGGGAGCAGACATACAACAGGTAAAGGCGACACATACGACAATGCAAAGAACAAGGTATTGATACGACCTCCGCGTCCGTAATTGCCAAGTGCGTAAAAATGCTTGTGTACGCCAGGTGGGGCCGCCAGGTGGCACCAGGTGGAGCCGCCAGGTGGCACCAGGTGGAGCCACCAGGTGGAGCCGCCAGGTGGCACCAGGTGGAGCCGCCAGGTGGCACCAGGTGGAGCCGCCAGGTGGCACCAGGTGGAGCCGCCAGGTGGCACCAGGTGGAGCCGCCAGGTGGCACCAGGTGGGGCCGCCAGGTGGCACCAGGTGGAGCCGCCAGGTGGGGCCGCCAGGTGGGGCCGCCAGGTGGCACCAGGTGGAGGCGCCAGGTGGCACCAGGTGGAGGCGCCAGGTGGCACCAGGTGGAGCTGCCAGGTGGCACCAGGTGGAGGCGCCAGGTGGCACCAGGTGGCACCAGGTGGAGCCGCCAGGTGGCACCAGGTGGAGCCGCCAGGTGGCGCCAGGTGGCACCAGGTGGAGCCGCCAGGTGGCGCCAGGTGGCACCAGGTGGAGGCGCCAGGTGGCACCAGGTGGAGGCGCCAGGTGGCACCAGGTGGAGCCGCCAGGTGGCACCAGGTGGAGCCGCCAGGTGGCACCGCCTGAGCCCAGGGTGCCAGTAATGATCCGGCTGGTGAGCTTTACCTGTGAGGGCTTTCCAGAGTTGTTCTACTAGATAATAATTTCCTAGAGGACTGTTAGGTCTCTGAGGTTGTCTGGGGGATTGTAGGGGATTGGGGGGGAAGTCCCTACAATCCAAGACGGCCTCCAACACACCTACTCACACCTCAATAAAAATCAATCGTGATTTTCCGGAAGCCAAGGGACCTTTGACAAACCGCCGGCTCCCTGTCCTCGTCGAGGCCTCTAGTATTAGTGCCCCTCAGGTAAATTCAGGTAAAGAACGTCGTTTCAACGTCGAACCAACGTCACACTTAGACAAAAATAAATCTGTGATTTGACGTTTCAAAACAATTTAAGTTTTGTTTTGGGTCTTAGTTATCCAGGAGTACCAACCCCACGACACCAGAAGTACCAACCTGACGGCGCCATACTCCAGCCACATAGCCGCACAGCTGTTGAGATAACGGCTAGATAACAGCTAATACCCTTACCTGTGATAACCTGAGAAAATGATATAGAAATGTGTGTTGATTCTTAGATGTTTATATTGACAGTGAGGTCCAATCTTTCTGTCCATATGCTCCAGGCCTCAGACCGTCTGGACGTGCAGTTGGACGGGCGGACAGTGTCAGACGGGCGGACAGTGTCAGACGGGCGGACAGTGTCAGACGGGCGGACAGTGTCAGACGGGCGGACAGTGTCAGACGGGCGGACAGTGTCAGACGGGCGGACAGTGTCAGACGGGCGGACAGTATCAGACGGGCGGACAGTATCAGACGGGCGGACAGTATCAGACGGGCGGACAGTATCAGACGGGCGGACAGTATCAGACGGGCGGACAGTATCAGCCGGGCGGACAGTATCAGACGGGCGGACAATACCAGCCGGGTAGTGACCAACCAAAGGGACCAGAGAAACACCAGCCAGTAATGGATAGTTTAAGCCTCAGCACCCACACCATACAAATTAATTACATTCACCAGTTATTTAAACACTAAAGCGCCATCATATTACATATTGATAACCACGAAGCCATATAAATAAATAAATATATAAATAAATAAACATTCCAGGATGTGTGCTTTTAACACACTGCTCCAACCTATCTAAACATTGGAGGTTTATCTAGTGATTTTTTATCGATTCATTTAGTGATTTGTGGATTTATTTGACTTATTCAGCTTCATGCAGGTCGGCGTTCAATCCCGACGTCCACAAGGGGTTAGGCACCATTCCTTTCCCCCGTCCCATCCCTAATCCTTATCCTGACCCATTCACTGTGGTATATAGTCGTAATGGCTTGGCGTTTTCCCCTTACCTGTGTTTTACTAATTTATTTTGATTGGTTTTATTAATTTATTGTTCCATTAATGTGTTTTATTCAATGTTTTAATGTTTATTGATTTCTTTAACACAATAAAAATTAAATATATTAAACTTAATATTTTTTTAAATAATATTTACTTAAATATTTTTTAGTTTATTTAATGTTCTATTTATTGTTTTATCAAGTTAATGTTTTATTGAATATTTTATTGATCCATTGTCGATTTATTTTAAACTTGTTTATAAAATGCGAGGCGGAACAGGCCACTAATTTAAAATTTAAAATATTTATTTTTTAATTAGTTTTATTATTAAATTTAATGTATTATTTTTATTATAATTATTGCATTACTTTATATTATTAAAAAAAATTATTAAATTATTTTTACTAAAAATATTTGAATTTATAAAAATTTTAGATTATAGAATGATTATTAAAATTATATTTATTAAAATTATTTGCATTACAATTAATTTTATTATTAAAATTATTTGTTTAACATTAATTTTATTTAAATTATATCTAAATAAAAAAATTATTAAAATTATATTATATAAATAATTTATTAAAAAATTATATAATTTTTTTTCTTATTTCCAATCAAGTAAGATCAAGCCCAAGTGCAGTGAAAAGCTCTGTACCCAGGGCACAGTCCTGTCACCGCCGTGCCCCAGGGCACAGTCCTGTCACCGCCGTACCCCAGGGCACAGTCCTTGCACCGCCGTGCCCCAGGGCACAGTCCTGTCACCGCCGTGCCCCAGGGCACAGTCCTGTCACCGCCGTACCCCAGGGCACAGTCCTGTCACCGCCGTGCCCCAGGGCACAGTCCTTGCACCGCCGTGCCCCAGGGCACAGTCCTTGCACCGCTGCTCTGTACCCCAGGGCACAGTCCTTGCACCGCTGCTCTGTACCCCAGGGCACAGTCCTTGCACCGCTGCTCTGTACCCCAGGGCACAGTCCTTGCACCGCTGTACCCCAGGGTGCAGTCCTGGCAGCTCTGTACCCCAGGGCACAGTCCTTGCACCGCTGCTCTGTACCTCAGGGCACAGTCCTTGCACCGCTGCTCTGTAACCTAGGGCACAGTCTTGGCACCGCTGCTCTGTACCCCAGGGCACAGTCCTGGCCCCGCTGCTCTGTACCCCAGGGCACAGTCATGGCAGCTCTGTACCCCAGGGCACAGTCCTGGCAGCTCTGTACCCTAGGGCACAGTCCTGTCACCGCTGTACCCCAGGGCACAGTCCTGGCAGCTCTGTACCCCAGGGCACAGTCCTGTCACCGCAGCTCTGTACCCCAGGGCACAGTCCTGGCAGCTCTGTACCCTAGGGCACAGTCCTGTCACCGCTGTACCCTAGGGCACAGTCCTGTCACCGCTGTACCCCAGGGCACAGTCCTTGCACCGCTGCTATTTCTCATTCTTATCTCAGATATAGACAAAAATACTAGTCACAGCTTCGTATCATCCTTTGTTCATGATACAGAAATCAACATGAAAATTTCCTCCGTAGAAGACACTGAAAAACAACAGGCAGATATAACTAAAGTCTTGAGAAACTCCACTGGGGCTGGTGAGGAGACTCGAACCCGCGACCAAGGCATTGCCAAGCCGCATAGCGATCAGGAACATAACAGTCCCCACCTCAACATAGTCTGGTCAAGCGACCACATTATGGACACCAAATATAAAAATAATAATAATTTCTTGCTACAAAAAAAATATTTCCCCTAATTACAACATGAACATAATTAACGATGTAATTTAAAGAACCTAAACGGCATTTCTCTCATTTATACTCGCTATCATTCAAAAATTAACGCCATCGTTAAGCTGTGTGTGTTACCGCGCGAACTGAACGATAAGCAAATAATATATATATATATATATATATATATATATATATATATATATATATATATATATATATATATATATATATATATAGGATAGTGAGTTTGTGTCTGACGTATGGGTGCATACGCATGGAATATATGTGTGTGTGTGTGTGTGTGTGTCTAAGAGTGACACACACACACACACACAACCTCCAGTGACACAGGAGTTCAAGAGAGATGAACTACCCTGGCTAATCACTATCATTACGTGGGGGTCGTACACCAATGAGGGGGTGGGTGGGTGGAGAGGAGTGGGGGTGTTGGGGGGCGCCATCCCCCCACCTGTAGAGGGCAGGAAGAGAGCGAGGTAGAAACCTGCTCTACATCTCTCCCTGAGAGAAACCCGGAAACTGAGACCTGATTTATTGTTTTTTTTAAAGCATATAATTTTTTGCCCTTTCTCCATGACTGGTGATAAGGGTGTGTAGTCAGGCAATTGTGCTTCCAGGGCCGAGCTTCAGCGCCCAAGCCCGGCTTTCTATAGTTATTGATTAGTTAATGCAAATGGAGCTTCATAAACATTTTAGTTCCGTCCACCTTATCAAAACTTGTAAGAATCTTTCATGTCCTTATCATGTCACTCCTGGACTTTTTTCCGCCTGGTTAGGTCCTTTTCGCATAAGTCAGTCCTCTTACTTCAGGGACCAGTCGTGTAGGAATCCTTAACACTTAATTTTGTTACGTTAATTTTTAGGCGGGATTTTACACTGGCGCTGCGTATTGTAGTAATGGTCTAACATAGGTGGCACATGTCTGTACGTATTTTAAAACGTATCAGTTTATTGCAGTGAATATTGCAGAATGCAACGGCCAGCAACACTACTATATTTTTCTGAGCAAATTTTACCCAACCTCCACCCCCCCTCCCACCCCCACTTTCCTTCCATTCCCCCCCCCCCTCTTCTATACCTTCCCTCTAACCCCTCCCCCCATCCCCCCCCCTCCTTACGGCGTGTCAATATAAATGAAAGCATCAGTGAACAAACCCCGGTCCGTCTGAAGGGACGGGGAGTGTGGGAGAGAAAGGAACGGAGAGAAAAGAGAGGGAGAGAAGTGACGGAGAGAGAGAGAGACGGGCGGGAGGACGGGATGGAAGGGGACGAGGAGAGGCGTGAAGACAGAGAGAGATGAGCAGAGGAAAAGGGGCGACAGGGAAAGAAGAGGGAGGGGGAAGAAATGGGGGAAGAGGGAACGAGAGAGGCAGGGAAAGGGAGGAGGAAGAGGGGACAGGAAGAAGAGGGAGAGAGAGGGCGGGAGAGTGGGAGAGGGGGAGGGAGAGGGAGCCACTCACGCACCAACACACAACATCAAGCGATTCATCTTGCACTAACCGACTTGCTATTACTCATACTGTGTTGAGCACCACCACTACACCCACCTCCCCCCCCCCCATCAACCTCCCTCCCCCTCCCCACAATGTGTACCACCATCACACACCAACACTACCTCAAGGTGTGCACCCCCACACACCCACGCCCCTCCACACACTAGGGGGTGAGAGAGCCCAATAGATTCAGCAATCTGTACACCAGTTGATTGACAGTTGAGAGGCGGGACCAAAGAGCTGTAGCTCAACCCCCGCAAGCACAACTAGGTGAGTACAGGACTAGCCCCAAGCCTTACAGGAAGTAACTCTCTTGCTTGTAATTATTTACCGTTATCGGCCCTATCCTGCTTCTTGTGCTTGCTCTCTCTCTCTCTCTCCCTCTCTGTCTCTCTCTCTCTCTCTCTCTACGTCTCTTCCCTCCTGTCAATCTCCATCTTTCCTAGCTCGTCGTAAGAATGATCTTGGTCATGCGAGTTTGTTGCTTCCTTCTCTGCTACACTCTCCTCTCCTTTATCGCCAAGTTGTTGCTCTCTTCTCTCTCTCTAATTCGCTCTCATTCCTTCCCATTTCATGCTTCTATCCCAACCTGCTACCCACTGCTCCTATTCACATTTTCCTGTCCATCGTTCACATCCTTGTCTGTTATCCACTACTATTATTTTCTATCCACTTCTATCCCCATCTCCTATCCACTGCCCGTATCACAGGTTCCAATCCATCCTCCCCCATTAGAACCGAGCCCAATCACCTCCCCCCCCCAGCAGCTGCAGTTCAACCCGAGCGGTTCCAATCAACTAAAGGTTCAGCTGAAGTCAATCCTGCCCAAGATCACTGAGGCAGCCCCCCCACCCCCCCATCCTCCGAGACCAACCACGAAAAAGATCCAATTCCTTTACGCTTGCTAAGGAGAGGATCGGATCGTAAACAGGTAAGCTTAAGGTAAACACGCGCCTCAACTCAAACGGGAGGCAAGAATCCCATCAAAATCACATGAAAAGAGGAAAAAGATGGGGAGAGGAAGAAATGGGGAGGATAGAGAGGGGAGAGAGAGGGCAGAGGGAGGATATTTTTAAAGGTACACTGCGCAAAACCGCTCAACATTGTGCAACACGCACGTTGCGGAAAAGTTATCTGAGAAAATAATTATACACACTTCACCGTGGAAGCCTTAAAAAAAAAAAGAGGTACACCCAATCCTGTAATAGCGTATTCAAAGTGGATCCAATCCTTTACGAGGTCTACAAAAGCCTATTGAATGCCTTGTCTCCGGACTAGTGGCGTTGTTACCTGCTCCTCTGGCTGTAGCAGCAGTTGGGTGTATTGTGAACAAAAAGGTATCCCACA